CTCGCTTGACTGCCAAGGGCTGGGTGTGCGTTGTTATGAACCGCATCCGAGTTTGAATTGCTGTCCTTCAGTAGCTTCGCCTTTCATTTAGCCTTGCGAACCGCAGAATGCCTCTGTCACTTGCTTTTGGTTTATGTGTGCGTTGTTACGAACCGCACAAACAACCATGATCGTATTGCATACATGTGAAAAAACAAAGCTGTCATGGGAGCGAGTCAATGCAAGCTCTCACTGAGATCCTCTCAATGCCTTGTGCAGCATGGGTTGGAGTTTTGTGGTTTGTTGAATGTATGACTTTCTGGGCCATTTTTTTTTCAGACGTCAGACCCAAAGCCCTATGATTTTCTCCATTTTGGCGCTAGTTTTTTTTGTTGCACGTAAGTTTAGAGCAGTTGGACGTGTGGGGCGTGAAGTGTGGAGTGTGAAGTTTAAGTGTGGAGTGCGAAGAGCGCAGTGTGAAGTGTGAAGTGTGAGGTTTGGAGTGTGAAGGAAGCAGTGAGAAGTGTGAAGTGTGGACTGTGAAGTGTGAAGTGTGAGTGAAGTGTGGAGTGTGAAGTGCGAAGTGAGAAGTGTGAAGTGTGAAGTTTGGAGTGCGAAGTTTGGAGTGGAAAGGAAGCAGTGAGAAGTGAGAAGTGTGAAGTGTGGACTGTGAAGTGTGGAGTGTGAAGTGCGAAGTGAGAAGTGTGAAGTTAGGAGTGTGAAGGAAGCAGTGAGGAGTGTGAAGTGCGAAGTGAGAAGTGTGAAGTGTGAAGTTTGGAGTGTGAAGTGTGGAGTGTGAAGTGCGAAGTGAGAAGTGTGAAGTGTGAAGTTTGGCGTGTGAAGGAAGCAGTGAGAAGTGAGAAGTGTGAACTGTGGAGTGTGAAGTGTGAAGTGTGAAGTGCGAAGTGAGAAGTGTGGACTGTGAAGTGTGAAGTGTGGACTGTGAAGTGTGAAGTGTGAAGTGTGGACTGTGAAGTGTGAAGTGTGCAGTGTGAAGTGTGAAGTGTGAAGTGTGAGGTTTGGAGTGTGAAGGAAGCAGTGAGAAGTGAAAGTGTGGAGTGTGAAGTGTGGAGTGTGAAGTTTGAAGTTTGAAGTGCGAAGAGTGCAGTGTGCAGTGTGAGGTGTGGAGTGTCGAGGGAAGGACACGGTCGGGACAGGTTGTCTTTGAACTATAGGTCATTTATGTTTGGGAAACTTCCGCCGCCGGCTTGCCCGGGTCTATATTATAATCTGATATATACGTATAATAATATACTATATATCATATATACTATCATTATATATATATATACTCTATATGTACTATATATCATATATACTATCATTATATATATACTATATATATATATGTGTACTATATATCATATATACTATCATTATATATATATACTATATGTACTATATATATATATATCCTGGTCCAAGCCATGGTCCAAGCGGCAGTAGTGTGCCGCATGCACCAAGGGCGGCCCGGTGGTCGGCTGCGCCACAAAGTCCACAGCCATCCTGAGGAGCGGGTTTTGCCACACCAAATTGTGGATTTTATGGTGATTTAACAGCCCAAAAAAACGACGAAACCTGGAATTTCTACGTACAAGTATGACACGATGAGGAAATGACAGATCAAACCATGTTTTTTGGGGGCTTCACCAAGAATAGTGCGGTCCAGAACCCCTCAAATGAGGAAAAAGCGAAAACATACCAAAATCCGCTGGCTTACAGTGGAACCTGATTTTCTCAGTGAAATTGCCGCAAATTGAAGTCTACCGGATTTGTGTATGTACATGCATGTACCCATTTGACTGGTGAGCCCTACTTGAGGTAGTTATGCCTGTAACTGGGTATGGATTACCCTCTGGTAATTTAACATTGCTATAAATTTGATGGGAAAATCCACTATAAATTTGGCCATTTCCAATAGCTATGTGGCTGTTTACCAGAGGGTAGATCAAAAGTCAAAAGCCTGGTTCCCTGCCCCGCCAAAATCGTTCTTCCGATGACTCATCCCCAATGGTCCCCTGATAGCACGAGGGCACTGCAACCATCGCGGTGCAGTCCAGCTTGACTCTTCGTGGGTCTCAGTCTGACCTGCAACGTGGCAATGGGGCGGATGTAAACCTCTGGTAATTTAACATAGCTGTTGAAAATATCCCATTTATACTTGATTTACCTATTCAAAATGGTGATTTTCTATAGTTTTTCTATGTTTACCAGAGGGTAAATCTTTGGAACAGAGGGGTTGAAGTGATGTGACCAACACATATGGGGATTCAAGCAACCATTCTATGGGAAGATCCTGGAATATAACTACAATATGGGTGTTACCAAACGATGCGTAAATTGGTCTCCAACTACGCGGCTTAGTAACGAGGATTTGTGGATATATCAAAATAGACGGGGTAACATAAGGTAACGTGAACCAACTTCCAACTGGGCCCCTTCCCGCAAGATGGGCTGAAGATAACAGGTATTGTAAACAGGGTAGCATCCTAAATGCCGTGGAAAATGCAGACATCGAAAGGGGGAATGTCACAACCAGCGAGGCTCGGCTATCGGCGGTGGGATAAAAACCACCAAGAATGGGGATACAAAAATGACATAATGAAAAAAAAAACAGAAATAGAACACAGTGTCACAGAGCCCACAAAAATGCGGATACCTGGCTGTGTCCAAAATGGGGGAAACACACTGCTGTCCCTATTCGATTTGATCAGCATGGTACACCCGTCTGAGCCTGGCAGTTCCGAACCACACTTGGTGCCTGGCGAAAAAGAGACCCCTACATCAAGCCATAAAATGGGGAAGCTGATGGGTATATTGACCAAGAAAAATGGTGGTGTAATGGAATGATCACGGCAGAACCAACCAACCATCTCCAAGCATTTTTGGGGGAAAGCAACGAAAATTGGGGCTTAACCAGCAACAACTGGGAAATTTCATGGTGAATTCATATTGGTTTACCGTAGTTGATGAGGTATTAGTTATTGATGTTGGTGGGAGATAACCAACAAATCAACAATATATATATATATAGATATATATATATATATATATGTGGTATATATGTGATGATACGGTGATACAGGGGGATATAACTGACATCTTTTGGCTTAACATAGTGGATATCACCATATTAAAATGTCGGCCAGGTCTGTAGGTCTGACAAAGCCAGATTCATTTCGACCATCCCCAGGGGACCAGATTTCTGGATGATTTTCCACCATAGCCCAACTGGAGGTAAAAATCAATGATGCTGTGTGTGCTACATCGGAATGAAGAAATATACATAAATATACTATATATAGATCTATATTAAGCATGTTTTCTCTAACCAAGCAGTACTGTACAGGTGCAAAAGATACACCTAAGATTCACTAAGTAATTACTTGCGATTGATTCCAGAAATGAAGCACAGCAACTACCGTGAATATCAAGGTTTAGTCTCTAGTGACTAAGACTAAGCAAAGAATAGATGCATTTTCAAAGAATCCAGGGCTCTCAGAAACATACGCTGCCGCAGGGCGCATCAGAGAATCGGAGAAAACAATGAATTCATAGTACATAGCTAATGGAAATCCTTCAAGAAATATCGAATGATTGAATTGTCGGTAAATCGGCAATAAATTACAATTTCTCAGCCTTTCTCAGCCACACCACTGCATTTCCACTGGTTCCTAGCTTGCCCGGTGCCCTCTTCCTACCTGTGGACGGTGGTGCGAAGTACCTCGAGATATGGAACTCCAGGGGCCAAATATCATCAGAACTTGGAGGAACTTGGGATGTGGGTCAAAATGGAAGACCATTAATGGGACCACAGATGTGAGTCTGTTTAGTTTAGTATTAACCATCCATAATTTTGGGGTACCTAATTTTGACCCATACCCATATAGTACTATGAAAACATGAGGGTGTTACAAAAAATGGGTATGGGTACGGTATGGGTGTATAGCCAAATGGAAATCTTAGGATCTGTTAGCGACTAAACCCAACAAATGGTTATCCTTTAAGTTTAGACCAATTTTTTTCGAACCTTTGTTCCAGGCAGAACGCTGAATGACAACATGAAAAGACTCTACTTAGTAGGGCTTCATAGTACAGATGCACTTGAAATTTTGGTCCTCAGTTAGAATGGCTTTTTAAATATATACTTTAAACTCGTAACCTTGTGTTATTCAACTGATCTTGTGGACCTGATAACTGGTATGGTAGGGTCCATCCGAAGCCGGCGAACTTGTTTCGAGACGCATGTGGCTTCCGCCTGGTCGAAAACCTGTATGTATGTATGTATGTATGTATGTATGTATGTATGTATGCATGCATGGATGGATGGATGGATGGATGGATGGATGGATGGACATGCATGCATGCATGCATGCATGCATGCATGCATGTATGTATGTATGTATGTATGTATACCAACGTACGTACGTATGTGTACGTATGTACGTACGTATGTACGTATGTACGTATGTACGTATGTACGTATGTACGTATGTACGTATGTACGTATATAAACATGTGTGTATATATATATATATATAAATATATATATATATATATAAATACATCATACCATTAATATCCATTTGCCAGCCATTTTTGATGTTCACCAGGGTTCACCAGGGTGTCAGGGTTTTCATCCATAGCCACATCGGAAATTCTTGCAGACAAGCAGCATTCCCTCAGAGGCAGGTTGGTCGATAGCCTGAAACTCTGAGGAGATCCAGTGTGGTAATGGTCTCAAAATTTGGGGACAAACCAGCCTCCCAGGCTCTCAACGGGAATCCCCTGGGTGATAGCGCGGGGATGACACGGCGAGTCTACACTGAAAACTGCGGCCATGTGGCTGTCAGTAGGTAGGTGTCACCTGAGGCTTGACAAACGTCGTGTCCAAACTATTGCGAGATATACAGAGGTATTGAGGGTATTGGGTATTGTATATATATATATATATATTATCTATATATATATATATATTTATGTATATATATATATAATATACACAACAGCTGTGCATATACACTCACTACCTGGTGGTTTCAATCCCCAAAACAGTTCTTCATTTGGGGGCATCATCCAAGGGTACCCCAAAATGGAGGGTTTATACTAGAAAATCATGTTAAATCATCTTAAAAGCATGTTAAAATGGATGTTTGGAGGTGCCCCCATTTAAGGAAACCTCCATATATTGGTACCATTTTTGACCCCAAGGTATCAGAAACCCCCAACCCTATACATGCGGTGAAAATTCGTCACGCCACACCCAGTGTGAGATCCCGGACACACCGGTGGGCACATGGCAAAGAACCTCAGGCCAGTTGGCAGTTTTCAGGCTAAAGATTCTGCCATTTGATTTTTCAGACCTTATATGTACATGTGTATGTATGTGTATATGTATGTTTGTATGTTCGTTTGTTTGTATTGTTGTTTGTATGTTTGTATGTTTATATGTTTGTATGATTGTATGTTTGTATGTTCGGTTGTTTGTTTGTTTGTTTGTTTGTATGTTTGTATGCGTGTATGTTTGTATGTGTGTATGTTTGTATGTCTGTATGTCTGTATGTGTCTGTATGTGTCTGTGTGTGCTGTGTGTGTCTGTGTATGTCTGTGTATGTCTGTGTATATCTGTGTATATCTGTGTATATCTGTGTATATCTGTGTATATCTATGTGTATATATATATGTATATATATATATGTATATGTATATGTATATATATATGTATATGTATGTATATATATATATATGTATATATATATATGTATATAATATATATATACATATATATATACATATATATATACATATATACATATATATATATACATATACATATATACATATATACATATATACATATATACATATATACATATATACATATATACATATATACATATATACATATATACATATATACACATATACACATATACATATATACATACATTTATATACATATATACATATATACATATATATATACATATATATATACATATAAACATATATATATATACAATGTACACGCAAACATATATATATATATACAATATAAATACATATATATATATATATACATATAGAAAGGTACATCTATATATATATGTGTAAATATATGTATGTATGTATGTATGTATGTATGTATGTAGGTAGGTAGGTAGGTAGGTATGTAGGTATGTAGGTATGTAGGTATGTAGGTATGTAGGTATGTAGGTATGTAGGTATGTAGGTATGTAGGTATGTAGGTATGTAGGTACGTAGGTACGTAGGTACGTACGTACGTACTACGTACGTATGTATGTATGTATGTGTATATATATATATATATATGAGTCCGGACTCCGGATCCCTGGCCCCCCCCTCCAATGGTATGGTCCCCCAAGCTCACGCTCTCGGGAACGCGGGACACGGGACCATACATACATACATGCATGCATGCATGCATGCATCCATGCATCCATCCATCCATCCATCCATCCATACATACATACATACAGACACACACACACACAGACAGACATACATACCTATCTACCTACCTACATACCTACATACCTACATACCTACGTACCTACGTACCTACGTACCTACATACACACGCACATATATACATGCATGCATGCATGCATGCATGCCTACCTACCTACCTACCTACATACATACATACATGCATGCATACATACATACATACCAACATACCAACATACCAACATACCAACATACCAACATACCAACATACCAACATACCAACATACCACCACCACAGGCCACAGGGGGGGGGACCAGAAGAACCAATACCAACACCACAGGCCACATGGGGGGGGACCATGGGGGGGGGAGGGGGGGGGCTTGGGAGTCCTGGGTCATATATACACGTATATACCTACGTATATATAAATATACATTTATATGTATGTATATATATATAATTAATGTGCTTATGTGAATACATAATATACATATATATATATATATACATATATTATATATAAATATAATATACATATGTATATATATACATGTTTAGCATCACCTTTGCGAGGGATGAATCACTATGTTCCCACAGAATGGTGATGTGTTGACCTTCCGTATGCCCTCCCAAAGTATAAGGTTGCCATCTCTCCCGCGAATCTCATCTGGCATGGAAGATCCCGATTTTCGACGCCATGAAATGGAGGTTGTCTTCATATCGTTTATATAATCCAAAATCTGGACATGTTTTGTGTGTCCCCTGGTTTCTGACCCATACCCATACCCCATACTTTGAGAATATGCTTGATCTTTTTCTTGTTGGTTACCCTCCTGTCAACTAACATCGATGTCAAAAAAAATCACCATTTGCTGGATGGGAATGGGGGTTGCTGGGATTATTATTGATAGTTTATTGTGGATCATTCCCGAAAATTCCCTACTAAACACAAGTAAGTTTGTCAATCATATTCCAAGCGGTCCAAGCGGGTTTCCCCATGGCTTTTCCGAGCCACGCCCCAAGGATCTTCTTGGCCACGCCCATGCGCCAGCCCTGAGCCACGAAGCAACGAACAGCGATGGAAAATAAAAAAATGTTCCAAACCACCAACCAGTTCTCAGTATTAATGGAAAAAGAAACATGTCGAAACGGAAGTATGAGTTATACCCTCTGGAAATTGTTCCCAGATTGTGATGCTATGGCCCTTTTTCTTCGGTGAATTTGCAAAAAAAAACTACATAGCTATGTGAAATCACCAGAGGGTAGTCCTGGTTGATTAAGAACGGGAATCCTATGATGATCCCTAGTGCCTAAAGGATATGTTTCACATCCTACCATCATCAACTGACTTGGGTGTTTGAAAACTGCTGAGTTAGTCATCGGAGATCAATGGATTTCACCTAGTATACAAACATGAGCAAAAAGCAGGTGTATAAACCAAGAAAGATGGTAATTAACTAAAGAGAACAAAATCGCAATATCAATCAGCAAACAACCGGCTAATAACATCTAATAACTAATAGTTAGTCATGATTCCACCTGCATGTGGGATAACCCAAGTTTGGAAGCTACTAACTTGATTTATTGACCAGGTACCAACTGGGACATGTAAATGGCCCTTTTTGCAGTTGCCATATGGAGCAACTAGGGATATTCCAATTTTCCAATTTTGAAAGACCCCCCGGGTCCTCCAAAACGATGCAAATCCACGGCCCAGCACCCCATGAGAAGTGCTTCTGTTGATCAAGTTGCTAATGTCCATGGGCTACTGGGTAGTTTTCATGAGTCCAGAAACAGCAACTCAAACAGGAATGAAACAGGAATCACAGAAATTGGTTAATGATGGTTAATGATGGTTAATGGTGGTTAATGATGGTGATTAATATAGAGAAAACATATGATTCGCAACACATGATGTAACGATTTAGACGGCCACATCCAAGATGCCCCAAGATACTTCATGATATGTTTAGGTTTCCTAAGTCATGGAGGTATCCCTAAACATGGCCAATCTTAGATACTCTGCAAATACTGAAAAAATCTTAGCTGGTGAACATAGATAATCCCATTGATCAACTAAGGATTAAACTAGCCATCCAGTCGATTGACCTAGTAAATTACCCTCTGGTAAACGTTTACATAACTATGGAAAATCTCCAGTTTTAATGGTAAATCAACTATTTCTATGGCCATTTTCAATAGCTATTTTGACATAGCCAGAGGCTAAATCCACCAGGATTTTCCACCATTTTCAGGATTTCATACCACCATTGGGACGTCTGGGACGATCACCTCGCTGACAACCACTTTGCAGATCCGGTTCAGACGCTGAAAGGTCTGTTGGCGCTGCGGGTCTCGGCCCCAATCCGCCTCACACAGGATTTTCGGGATGGAAAAAGCCCAAAGATCGGCTGGTGGTGCAATAACCATCTTGAAAAATATGACTTCGTCAATGAGAAGTTAAGGATTATTCCATATATGAAATGGAAAATGAAAAATTCATGTTCCAAACCACCAAACAAAGATCCGGATCGAAGCGGGTGTAGCCCTCTAAATTGGGGATTGAACCAACTGATATGACATTCGATGGGCTGAGGGGGTACAAGTTAGTGAAGCATGGATTCATACACCAAGGGGTCGACTTGAATGCGTCATCCCCCTAAAAAAATGATAAATGTTGCTATTAAATGATACACCCACGGCGCCAGAGATGACAGCCCAGGGTGGTATGTTTCCAAGGTTGACATTAATTATAATTAGGTAGAACAGCTAGCAGTACATAAGTAAGGTTGTAAATAACCCTGATCCGGACTAAGTAGGGTTATCTAGCAGTCAAAGTATACCAACCCAAAAAAATGCAAAGATAATCTAACCGAGCCGTTGAACATTACCTGTTGGTAGACCATGGTTATGTTAGATTCCCAGAAGGAAGTAAGTAGGATTGTACGTGTCCACCTCGTTTGGAGATTGCTAAATTTGTTTCAAGCCACTTGTAACATGTTGTAGCATTAATGTTAACCATAATATTCCATAATATATTCCCATAACATGCCATAATATTCAAAATATAGAAATAAGAATATAATGTGTATATATATATACTTATAATAAATATATATATATAATATATAATTATAATATACAATAATAAGAATAGATAATAATAAATAATAATTATTAATAATAATAACCATATATATATAATATGTGTGGAACCATAATCAGCAGGGCCATTCTTCTCAACTCACAGCGCACCAGTTGCTTCACCAACATCAACGAGGGCACTCGGAGCAGCCGCAAGTCCTAAGAAACATCACTGGGACCCGCGGCGCACTACCCGCGAATCCCAAGTAGGTTAGTTGACCCTGGCTATTTCAGTGGGATAAGTCGGGTTAATCGACTTATAATAGGGTTCTAAAAGATATAAACCAATTAAAAAGTGGGATGAGCCAGCAAGTGGGGATAGGGGAAATGTGGAACATGTCTAACCTTGAAATGATTAATCTGGTCGACCTGATAAATGGGTTGTAAATATTTGTAAATATCATCCCTGAATGGTGGGCTTATTTTTTGGCTTTCCCACATTCGTCATCAGTAGTCACCTACCCGAATCCAAAGAAACACCATGTGGAATATAACATTCTATGCGTTCTTTCCGAAAAAATGTTATCTAATTGAGAGAAACGAGGAACTAAATCACTGCAATTTGGGGTACCCTAATTTTGGACAAAATCGTAGCTGCCCAATGAGAGAAGGAATATGAGCAGGAAAGCTTGGGGTCGTCCCAACCAACATATTAATATATATATATATATATGTCTAGGAAAATATGCAAAAAGCGTACAGCCTTGCACTGTGACAACGGGGTAATTAGATGTGATGATGTGGATATTTGGTGATATTTGTCTGGATGATGAAGAGTTTGGATACAAGTTTTTCAGTGCTCATTTGAGACCTGGATTCTTTCCCCAATCTCCTTCTTTCATGATCCTGGCATGTCATTTCATACCAAAAAAGCACCCGGAAAAACCAGCTTCCCCTTTTTTCGCGAAAAAAGGCACGTAAACAATGGAGAAGCCCTTCTTCACCAAGTTGTACTCCAGAAATACATCAATGTAGTCCTTGTGATCCAGCTCTCGGGGCCCCCCAAAAAAAAATCGAGGGCAGGGATTTATGCACTTCACGAGGCTGGGAAACCTGGGTTACAACAGCATGTCTTTCCCGTTTAACTTGCTTGATTTGAAAACTCTGATGAAGTTATCGTTTGTTGTGGTGAATAAATGCTTGTATGTTACAAATGTCAAGGCCAAACTCACACAGAAGCAGCTTCTGTGGATACAATAAGTTTTCAAATGATTAACGAAAAACACACACACACACTTGCTCACACACACACACACTGCTGCACGCACACACACACACACCCACGCACACACACACACATACAGCCACGCCCGCCCGCGCGCCCGCCCGCCCGTCTGCACGCACGCACATGGCTGGCAAAATCTATTTTTTTGTTCCACGCAACACAGGTTGACAGAAGGCACACTGTAGCTGGAAGCAGCACTTTTCTTCTATGATGTGACTGTGATCATGGGTCCTTCCCAGGGTGAACTAAATGGATAGATTTGCAAGGGTATTTTCAGACACTATCAGGTGTGCAGGGCGGCCCCAAAAGCCAGCCCCCTGCAAGCCCCCCCGCCTGCCAACAACAACAATGGGGGGAGGGTGGCCCTCCCCAAAGAGTCTCTGAGAATTGTGTTTTTTTTAATTGTATGTTTGGGTTTCTCGAGGTGTTTCTTGGTTTGGTACTTAATCGTCATATGAGGGTTCAGCAAACAATATTTGAAAATGCCATTGTAATGAGAATGACGTGGTTAGCATTACAGCCCGGATGTGTTGAAAAATATACACGTTAGCTAAATTTCGGAGCAATGTGATGCAAAATATACTGTAATTTACAGCTTTTTTCTACATTATGCTTAAGAAATAGCATCTGTGTGAGCACCCGTTCTGAAAAAACGATGGCCAAGGAATCAAATAGTTTCAGCTGATTAATTTCTGCATAAGATTTGGGTTGTTCATGTGTGTCCCAAACTTACTGCAAGACTCATTCGATTGAACCACTCCTTTTGGCAACGTCATGTCGCCATGTTCGTTTGTTACATCCCCATCTCACTTCGTCTTGGTACACCCCGCGCCATCTTTTCTCCAGGCTGGACCCAGCCCGGCACTGTCCGTCATCCGTTCCACGCCATCTTGCGTGAAGGGATTGTCTGCCGCCTGCACGAGCGGAGCTTCAAACCACGGGAGTTCAAGATATCCCAATTGGATCCCAATTGGCAAGTGGTTGTAACATTTACATGATATTATACTATATACATATGGAGGTTTCCATAGTCATGGGGGTACCCCCATAGCTGGACGGTTAGTGGAAAAGCCATCTATAAATGAATGATTTGGGGGGTACCCCCATTTCTATATTATCATGTAACATTTGTCTAGCATGTTATAACCACATCATGGTGCAGTGCAGGGTGGACCGTGAAGATGCACCGCTTCCGCCAGTAGAAAAATCATGAAAAATCAATGGCCGGACAGCCTGCAGCACCAGTTCGGCAAGGCCGTTTTCACCCACACGGGGTTTCAAGGCCTCGGACGATCTCAAAATATGGGTCTGAAAATAGGTTAACCCCCCAATCTAGTGGTTTATAATATTGTATAATCACTAATCTATCCAAATCTAACTAGATCTAGTGGTATAAAATGGTATAAATATCACTTTCCCGGCTAAAAATCGCCGTTTACATGGGGATTTCCACGTGGGGTGTCCCCTATTTTTCATCTGAATATGGAAATACCACTGGAACATGTGACCACTGGGATCCACTGAGGTACCCAGTTGTAACCATCATTTACATCATTTACAGTTGTGAAAAATACCATTTTAAAATATTTTAAATACCCGGCTTTTTCGACCCAAGCATTGAGGTAAATGAATGTAAATGATATAATGATGTTGTTAAATAGGGCAATCCCATTTACATCATTTACCAACTAACCATTTCAGGATGCACATCGGTCATCGCTGGGATATTTTCCTGGGATGTCCGGCGACAAAGCCCAAATCCAGGATATCTGGCAACGATTTGGCCGCCATGGCGTTCCAAAATTTCAAACTTCGAAAGAGAGGATTTCCCAGGGGATGTGTTTGGCGCCTCGAAAAAACACTGAGGCGTTGTTTCAACAATGGTGCGGTTGCGAGTTCTATGCGCCATGAAAATCAGCCGATTGAAGTCATAGATGTGTGGTGTAAGCCTCAAGATCTTTGCAGTCTTGAAGCAATCAGGCTTGCATGAAGCGACTACGGGGGGATCCATGCTGAAACACTGCTCCAACACGCATTCCCAGGGTTGCCGCCTTGGACGGTCTGTTGCTATCCGTTCTTGCATAGCGGGAGGGGCTTCAAATTTGGTTGTCAAGTCACACCCAACTGTTGGCGCAAACGGCAACATTGTTCTTTTCCTTGTGCTGTGCGGTCCCATTCGGGACAACTGCGGTCGTCACTTCTGACAGACTGCCCAAAGGGCTGATCACACAGTCCTTTGGGATGCTGTGTGGCCGAGCACATTAACTAGCCTTCTCTTTTGAGAAGGAGCTTCAAAAGACCCAAAAAGTTGACCCTTCATGGATCTTCATAGCAAAAGAAATTCAATCATAATCTAAGTATAACAATCCATATAGAAATCCTCACAAATCCTCATGATCTGATCAATAAGTATGCAGTATGCGCCTAACATCTAATCACCATGGGATGACATCAGCCAGAAGCCGCCTGGGCTTCTGCCTCGGCCGGCGGATCAGGCGGCTCAGGCGGCGGCGCCGGCGGCGGCAGCAGGGCATCCACTTCCGGCGTTGGCTCCGGAGGTGGGGCTTTCGCCCTTGGGCGGGAGGTCAACAAAGTGCTCCTCCCGTTTGGGTTGAGAAATCAGAAAGATGTCCAAAATTCTCCCTGGTTGGTGGTTTCAACCTACCCCTCTGAAAAATATGAGTTCGTCAGTTGGGATGATGACATTCCCAATATATCGGAAAAATAAACATGTTCCAAACCACCAATCAGCTCCAAATGTCATGGAAGTTTGCGTTTGACCGAAAGGTTGGGCTTGAGATGCGACCCCGGTTGACCCGGTTGAACCATGGCAAGTGATCCGGAAGGGAATCCCGAACGCAAACCGCTTACACGTCGTTCCAAGTTGCGTCAAGGCGTTGATGTTCCCCCAGTTGTGTGCCACCAAGTCCCGCCTCAGTTTTTGCCCATGGAATTGAAAGAATATGGAAGAATATGTCGAATATGTTGATAATACATGTGTATAATTGTGAATATATATATATATATACGGAAAATGATGATTCACCGATGGAATTTGTTGTTGCTCTATTTTCAGACCTACCATATATTGTTTCTCGGAAGCGACGACTGGCTTCAGTTTCTTCCCTTAGTTTGATTCTGGTTGGTGGTATACCTACCCATCTGAAAAATATAAAAGTCTGTTGGGATCATTATTCCCAATATATGGAAAAATGACAATGTTCCAAACCACCAACCAGAATTTGTTGATGTCCTCTATAATTCTTTACGTCACTTGCGTCACCTATCATCAAAATGTTGAGCTTGCATGGCAAATCTGGGAGCCACGAATTTGCCGCCCATCCCATGATGAGGGAGGTGCCTTTTTCAATGTGGGTAAACAATGGCAAACACATGTCACATGCCTAATCATCGATGGTTGGGGTAAGTCAAAACATTCAAAAACAGTCAGGAGCCACTTTGCATATGGCTATGAGTCAAAACCCTGGTACCCTGGGGACCCTAAATAGATGGTTTATGCCTGTTTATTCCCCAAAATATGGCAGTAATAGGTTTTGACCCATCCCCATATCCACTGACATTGACAGCCACAGCCAATTCGAAAATCATCTGCCGAACAGACAGAGCTGCTGGAGCCCCCAGTCATGTAAACACCGATCTGGCGAACGAATCTCCTACCCAAAAACCTGGCCAAATTGAAAAAAATCGATGGCCCAAAGGAAAGCAGGCTGCGAAAATTCTGGATGGAACTGGATGGAACTGGTTATCATTTGGGTTCTGAAAATGGAGGGCCATGTAATAGGAACACATCGTTGTTCTGCCGGATTTTGGACTAACCTATTTTCAAACAAACTCATTCGGCCATCTTTTTTGAGTTCTTAAAACACAACGGAGGACACTGGGAGCCGCTGACATCACATGCAAGAACTCAGGGAAGTCCACCGCATTGTCACCTTGCGAGTACCTCAGCCGGGATCGGGGCAGCATCGGATTTCTCTGATCGGAAGTCTGAACACTCAAACAAAGCATGAGATTCTTGCGTTGTCCCAATTCACTTTAGTTTTTTGGAGTTAGATTGTTACAGTACTGATTAGATTACATCACTTTAGTTTTTTGGAGTTGTCCCAAAAGTGGTGTAATTTGAGTAAAGAAACAGTAAACCATCCCTAAGTTTACTATAAATCGGTGATGGAAACTATCAAAATGTTTATTGCTTTACTAGCATTCCCACCTATGGACAAGCAGGCACAAGTACCACATTCCCCGGTTTTAGCCCCTGGCCTCCTCAGAATTTCAAGCAATTCCTGGATGTGGAGGGTGTTCCCGTTGGAATCACAGGAGTGAAACCCATCAATAAATTCATCATGGCTGATCTTGTCTGCGCAGCAAAAGAGTTCATCTGGTTGGTGGTTGACCTACCCCTCTAAAAAATATGAAAGTCAGTTGGGATTATTATTCCCAATATGTGGAAAACTAAAAAATGTTCCAAACCACCAACTAGTCATTCTTGGTCTTGGCTGGTTGTTCTCAATTCATAAATTTTGAGTCATTCACCGCCCTCCAGCCGCTCCAGCCAAAAGGATGTTCAACAGCCCATCACAGAGGTGCCCTGTTTCTGCGGGCTTGTACAAATCAGAGGAGCAAAAACCCCCGGATCACACAGCACACGTCACACGTCATCATACGAAACCAACAATCGACCCAAAGGGACACCATTTTACAGCAAAGGGGGCTATACAGCACAGTAAACGGCAGTTGACATGACCAATCTTCCCATCCGAGCCATGGTAAAATCCCTACTAGCAACTTGTCCAAAACCCCAACTAAAAGCGTGAACAAACAACCATATCCTCTGTCATTCCCTGAATTGTGCTGGTTGGAATGCCTCCATTTGCCTTGTACCCCCCAGTCTATTGGCTCAGTCCCCATCATCACCAATCACCTTCTCATCTATTCCACTGATGGGCTCGTCTGAAATTCATTAATTAGATGAATTGTCACCAACTTGTTGGCATTCCAATTAATACCAATTAATCATATCCCATTATATAATCCCAAAATTGGTTGTAAACATCCCCATATGTCACCTGACAAAGCCACACCCCTTCTGAAAAACGCCTTCAACCGTCCAACCGTCCCCCGTCCTGGCTCCCTCGTGCGCCCTGCGCAGCTCGGGTTATGCTGCCCAGCATGTTCTGAAGCTCTTCGAAGCTCATGTCGCCGCTGCTGTTTCTGGAGCCGTGGGGAGGTTCAACATCGTTCAACGCTCTCAACGGGGAACAGGAAAAGCCGAGGTAAACCAACCATAGGAACAACCCCCATGCTCTGTTTGTAAAGCCATCGTGATCTTCCAGTGGCTTTTTCCCCCTTTTTCCTAACCTGTTCTTGTCCATCCAACCTTTTCTCAAGCTGCCCTACAAGAACCCCCAGGTCTCCCCACGTTGCGTAGGATTTGAAGACCTTGCGGAATTCCCGCAGGTCGCGGACACTGAAGTGGGTAGCCACCACCTCACCGACTTGAAAGACATGGGAACAGTGGGTTTAACATGGTTTAACCAATGCGAAATGGACATAAATAAATTCCTTCCCCCTTGTACTGTAATATTATATATATATATACAAACACCCCCAAGAAACCATGGTTTCGTAGGAGATCTGAGATATACATTTTTGGCGGACCATAGAATGGGGGTGTTTAACATTTAAGGGGATGGGTTATGTGGAGGCGACAACTCTTTTTCTTCGTTCAAAATCGATGAAAATTGAAACCAATTCTGGGAGATGGGGAACGATTGCCAAGCACCGTCCCGTTAGCCAACACACCACCATGGGATGCTTGTTGCAAATCTACTGCTCAAAAGCAAGTCCACCAATCATTGGATTTATGCTTGTCATATTACACATTATTCCACGATATTCTGTGAAGAGCCATACACTGCACAGATGCACATATGCATATGCAAAAACAAGAAGATATAGTCACGCTATGCCGACTGTGTGAATCCAAGTCATACCAAGTCATACCATGCTCAAGGATAGAATACAAAGATCATCGCAAGTTTGGCCTAGTTTGGCTGTAACATCCACAGTCATTGGTAAAATCCATTCAAATCCTCATGGTCTGCTTAAACAGCCTAATGCGCCTGCCCCTAATGCTTTGGCTTCTGTGCTAACTATACTTCTGGTTGGTGGTTTGAACCCCTCTGAAAAATATTATATAGTTGGGATTACTAGTCCCAATATATGGAAAAATAAAAGTCATGTTCCAAACCACCAACCACTTATACTTGTTGACCATGTCAACCGTTTTAACCCCATTTTAGCCATGCCTAAAAACCATGAAAAATTGTTCAACTCAAATGATGTCCCAATTCACCAAGTTGCCGCTGCACGTTCTTTGGCCTCGCTTCCGGTGGATAGTGGATGGTGAAAAATGGACGTTTGATAACCATCATTCTTACAGTAGTATTCCAGGGTCGAGATCAATAGTCCAATATTCTGATTCTTACAGTAGTCGTAATGACCAAACACACCAAACACCATCCAGTTTTCGAAGCGTCATCGAATGTTCGGTCATAAAACATCCATGTTTGGGATATCGCTTGCAGCCATACCATTTGATCACAATAAAAATGGTGGTGGATTTTAAGACAAATTTTCGGGGTGGAGTGAACCGCCAGAAATGGTGGAGCTAACCAAAAAGCATCCCATCATCTGATTATGATACACCCCCGCGAAAATGGGGCCACAAAATGAATTCTGAATAGATCTACCACCGAATCAGGGTTTGTTGGTGGATGTAGGAAGAGAGTGTGAGGATGCTACCAACAAAAATGGTGAGAAAGATCAAAGATATACTGGGTCCATGTACAAACCCCAGACCTGGAATTCAAATTACACATCATTTGGAGTAATGATTCAGACAACATTTTAAGACTTTCCCAAGCACAGATCCAGCAACCAGCGGGCATAGCACAACAGCAGAACTCCAATGTTCAATGGGTTTGTGAGAAATCCCGCAGTGGGGACAGTCCGGAGATGTTTTCTCAACGACCGGAATTCTTCGCCAGTCGCCGATCCGGGCTTTGAAAAGGGCCACCTTTTAGCCAGTCGCCATCCGGGCAGCATCCGCATGAGGGGAATCAAAGCTGCCATGAATTTCTTAGCCCAAGTTGCCAATCGTTCTCGGCTACAGCGGTTGCTCACCAAACGCATCAGCAAGAGGAATTCCTGCTGGACTTGGGGCTGAACATGAGAAATATCCGTGGGGAACATTTCAACCAATGTCATACCACAGGTTCAATGGGGAAAATATAAGCATGACTATATAACTATAACATTATGACTTCAAATAATCAACTTCAATGGGTAAAAGGATGTTCTCAACCATGACATTTCTGAGGCCATTTTGAGACCCATCCTCTACCTCTAAGGAGTTGGCTCTTCGGGTAGCTGCTACCAAACGCCACAGGAGAAGATCAAATGAGGAAGAATGGCCAGTTAAGGCCTCGTACGTATTGACTCATTGACCCTCAACTTTCTGAATGTTTTCTATGCTACCATCTGGTTATGACTAACAGTTTGCCATGGAAAGATCCACCATGCTATTTTCATAGGTAAACCATGGTAAACCATCTATTTCGATTAGGGCCATCTATACCATGGCGATGTTAGTCATAACCAGATGGTACTGTACATGAATCGAAGTGACCCATGGTTTTGAGCCCCTCCTGGAAGTCAATGCTACCAGAGCGATCCGCATCACTCTCCTGACACGGCGCACCGGATCCTCGATGGCCAGTACCAACAAGCATCACCGCAACGAGCACAGATATCCTTAACAAACAAATATGGGTATGAATCAAAACCTTGGTACCCTAGTGAACCCCAAATAACTGGTAAATGGATGTTCATCCCACTATAGTAATGTATCTATAGGTATTGACCCATACCCATATGACCAGACGTAAAATTTCACAACATGAAATTTTCCATGGCAAAATCACCACCAAAAAAAAAAGATTCACACATTTCTGAAGCCGTTCGCTAGCAACCAATGGGTCTCAGGTCTCGTATACCGAAAGGCTGCATGGTAAACTGCATGCCCCTGCAATTGTTCGTGGGGACCATCCATTACCATCACCCGACAAGGCCAGCCCGACAATGAAAAATCCCGATGTTGGTGGTTGACCTACCCCTCTGAAAAATATGAGTTCGTCAGTTGGGATTACGAACTTCCCAACTGAATGGAAAGTCATAAAATTCATGTTCCAAACCACCAACCAGCTTCCATGTTTTTTTCTAAAAATGGAAATCTGCCCTGGAAAATGTATGCTTACGGGTATTCATAGACGGTTATTTTACCATATCTTACCATATTTCAGCGGTGAGAAATCCTTGCCTTGATCATCTGGGCGATCTGTTCGCGTCCGGCCTGCCGTTGGTGCTTGGGTCAAGGGGTAGCTACTTGACATTCTGAGAGGCTAAATCTCACCCAAAATCATTTATCATAGTATATATATATATATATATATGTATAATATAATATATATATATATATATAATATAATATATATATATATAATATTATATATATATAATAATATATATATATATTATACACACACATCAAAAATGATGGATTTTCCATAGCTACTTCGAATTCTCAGAGGCCAAATCCCCGTTTCGGGTCCGGCCGCCCGGCCTGGCTCTTCTCGGCCTGCGGCACGCAATCCAAGAGAAGTCGTCTCAGCTGGCGCTTGGCGATCACACCCTGGTTCTCCGGGTCATAGACACCTCGGGCATCGGGCATCATGGCGAAAAATGGCACGGAGCCACCGGTTTCTCGGATTTCTGCGGTCTTTTTCGATCGGATTTTGATGGATTTTGTCATGCAACGGTGTATATGTGGCAGATTTTTACTATAGGGTTCTTTAATGTTCTTTATACATGTGGTATTTCTATAATACACGGATTTTACTGGTGGTAATGTGGATGCCAAACCCAAATCACCAGTTGGGAGAACAAAAAAGGGTTTAAACCCTCTACCAACCTGTGAAGGATTTCGCAACCATCCACGGTATGGAAAATGGCCATATTGTATACTTACAATTCTTAATGTTGATGTATTCTGAACATGGGATGGAAATGCAAGCAAATGTACACACTCAAATGTACACACTGTTCGTTTGCGGTGATTAGTCAATGGTTTTTATACTAGTACTTACAGTAGATATGTTGATGTATGATGGGATAGAAACAGATGCAAACGTACATGACACAGACTGTACAACTTTGCAGATGCATGGGGGCTCTTCCACAAGGCTATATCTGATCAGTAGTGAAAAGCTGTATGACGTTACCTCATAATGGATTCATAGGATGTCACAGGGATTCAGATTATGCATACTGCATACCCAATAAATCCCACTGAAAGCCACATAAACTAAGACCCGAATCGACAATCGTCAGCGAAAATCATCAGGATTATGCAGATGGCCACTGCTAGAGCAATGCTACAAGGTTGGAACTACGTTCCTATGCTTGATCCTACCAAAGTAAATTCCTAACAAAGATTGGATATGTCCTGATATGTCCACGAGTTGGGGATATGTTGGATGACTTGGGTGTTCCATGTTTCGGGGACGCACATAGATCTGCCAGGAGTGCCTTTTTGTTTTTGTGGTTTCAAAAATCCGATGCATTTTGAGTGTATTCATAGGTCATAGACTTTCTCCCGTTTGGAAAACAAAACCCCCATCAATCAATTAGTCCAACTATCATTTTGGGCCGACCGTAGATCATTACTAAGATCCCCTGAGGTCTTAGGATCACAAAAAAGCCGTCCGACTCTTGGATGTGGATTGACACCTTTAGTGTTTATCTTTCGGGGGGACGACCTACGGGATAAACCTGGCTACCTGCGGGCTCAACAAAGATTTCATCATATTTTTATCCTTCACTATGACACCAGCCTGGCGAACCTTCCTGTTCATCACTGAAGACTTCATAACTATCCAAAACCATGGGCAGCAACTTGCACAGGAAGGTTGATATCATCATTAATAATTATCTGTGACGTAGGATCAAGCGAGCCAAACCGTAGGCCTAAGCGAGGTACTGACCAAATGAAAGACAAAACCCCCATCAATCAATTAGTCCAACTATCATTTTGGGCCGACCTTAGATCATCTTAGATCCCCCTAGGATCGCTCGCTGTCGATGCCAGGGCACGAAAAAGTTGCATCAACTCTTCCACTTCACCTGGGGTATAGCCGTGATTTCGCCTCACCTCATCATTGATCTCCTGGCCATGAGCGCCGTCGCAATTTTGCCGGCAGGGGAAGGAACTGGAGGCGTTGAGTTGAAAGGGATCACACTCATCCCATTTGGGTATAGTAGGATGAACTATCCATTTGTGACTGGCATGAATTGGGATATATTGACTAAGTATTGACTAAATACATTCCCAGATGGTTTTCTGGGGGGCGCTCCTGTGGTTGCACTAAGAAGTCTGAAAGAGCCCGCAGCTGCTTTTCGCACCAAACATGTCTGTGGAGATGTTTCATGGCCCAAAAAATGGACTGATATCAGGGCATATCAGGACTATTGTAGCCTTTATCATCCTTCGTCCATCATCAAAGGATACTGAGCCTTTCATAGCCTTTCATAGCCTTTCATAGCCTTTCATAGCCTTTCATAGCCTTTCATAGCCTTTCTCTGTTCATAAAGGATATTACCCTCCAGTAAATTAACATAGAACCTGCCAGATAGGGCTTGGAAGATTAGTTTCCATTCAACATGGGTGATTTTCCGGCTCCACAAATTTATTTACCAGAGGCTAAAGCTATGATGATTCCAGACCCAGTAGGTCCCAGTAGTAGGGGCTTGCGGCAGCACCGATGCATGCAGCATCGCCACTGCAGACCCAGAGGTCCCAGTAGGTCCAGGTTTGAAAAAATGGGTCCCTCGGGGTCCCCGGACCCGGCGGTACTCAGAGATCAAATTGGAGAACCCCCAGAGGTTCAACCTGAGGTCGGCACCCCGGGCAGTGGGTGGCGATTTGCCTTTGAAAAGGGGCTAGGGGACATAGAAATGAAAGAAAAACAGCTTCCCATAGTTTTCCAGATGGATCCATATTTACCATTGGATTTACCTTGGCACTTGGATATCTTTAAAAAATATTGGTAAATCATATCCAAAAGATATCAACCATCCATCAACCAACATATTCCCAGAAGATTCCATATGATTCCATATCAATCCATATCAACCGATAGATTTCCATAGATCTAAGATGGACATTACATGACATTAATCAAGGGATATTAATCAACATTGAAGTATTATGTTTTTTTTTCAACTTTCCATAGATTTCCATAGTAGAATATAGAAAAATCCATATTAATCATTACAATAATCAACTTTCCATAGATTTCCATAGTAGAATATAGAAAAAATCCATATTAATCATTACAATAATCAACTTTCCATAGATTTCCATAGTAAAAGATGGACATTAAATGACACTAATCAAGGGATATTAATGCTATTACTTACAGTATATGGATCAACCAACCAATGGTAAAACCAGCCACAACGTCTCGAAGCCCGAGGCGCTCCGTCTCGTCTTCCTCCGTGCCTCGGAAATTCCCGATTCCCGGGGTTTCATAGCCATATAATGTATATGTATATATGTATATATATATACTATTACTATAACACGTGTATCATGTGTCCATGATCCATGTAACAATGTAACTATATATAATTATATATATATATACACACATTGAAATATATTGTACTATATCATAACTGTGTCATAGGCGTACACTGTGTCCGTGTCTATGCGCTCTCCTCAGGCATACCCTCAGGTTGAGACTGCGAAGGACGCCGCTGTCCTTCGCTTAAACGGCACTGGGGCAGTGGGTCGTGGCGGGCCACAGTTCTACCGGTCATTTCGAATAGCTAATGAGGGGGTTCCATAAATGGAAAAAACCCGAAATGGATGGTTTATAGTGGACAATCCCCAATAAATATCAAGATGGTGAGTTGGAAATGAAACCAAATAGGGAATATCATAGGGAATATCATTAGGGAATGTCACAGGGAATGTCATTGGGAAACTAATGTGGGTAAAACAATGCCATAAACCACCCATGACTGGAAATGGTAAACATACCAACTTTTTATGGTGATTTGGGGGATGGCTTAGGACATTGTTTTACCCACGTTAGCTAATTCTGGAAAATGCTCCGTTTGCAGATGATTTACCCATTCAAAATGGGCACTTTCCACCGCTATGTGGAATTACCAGGGGCAAATGGAATGTTCCAGACATGGATTATATAGATCAAAGGAAACTTACAGGAAACCCAAAGCAGTGCAACATTGAAAACACTTGATAACCATGGTTTCCTGCATTGTTTGCCCCTCTAAAGCCAATGATAGTCTCAGGGTCATACCTGGTATCCACCTGGTGGAGTGTTTTTTGATGGAACTGGGTTTTAAAAAGGCTCCCAGTTAGATCAGTCAGTGGGGATATTCACCTAATCCAGTCAGCCCGTGAAAAAAAAAAACATAAACTGATCATTCCCAATATTGACACTAAAAACCTACCATTTTTGCGACAGGTAAACTGGGATAATCTCAAACCGCCCTTTTTTGCTGGGAGTACGATATCCCACTGTTTTATATGTTTTTTCTTGATCAGAGCCTCATTTTTCCGATAAACAACTCCCGTCCTGTCGCAAGGGGCAATGCCCCGAGCTTAAAAGCATGGAGGGCAACTCCGACTGACACCGCGGTGCTTTGTGAAAAACAAACAGGAGGATTTACATCACGCATATGGCATTACATTGCATATAGGTCACACGTACAATATATGCATGTATGATTCTGTATGTCTCTGTACGTGCGTCTATTATATATATATGCGGACAAACATATAATGTATCATTGAATCATATGAACAACTCTGATTCTAGGTCTGCTCAAAACTTTGGGACGCCTTAAACTCCTCAAACTCAAACTGGTGGTCCATGTTTGTGGGAGCGGTTTTAGGACATTGGGACATTGCCACAACAAAATGGCTACCATGACAACAACAGGACAACAGTGAGATGATGCCACCTAAAACCGACAACTGTCGTTGGGGAATCTATGACTGGCCTGTTTGTGCTGCCACAACCCGGACCAACTGGATTTTTTGTTTTTTCGCTCAGGTGCATCTACGATTGCGGAGTAGTGAACTGTCTCATGTCCATTTCTGTATCTATATCTACGTATATCTATAGCAGCATCTATGGGTTTATGTCTACCCTAGATGTAGATATACCCTGGCATTTTCAGGCAGCAGATGGGTTTATTTTTGAGATCCCAAAATCTGATATTTTTGAGGACCCAAGGGACCCATATCCCACACGGCCGTTTTGCCGTTTTGCCCCACCTTGCCGCGCTTTAGCTCACCTGCCTTTTGCGCAGGTAAGAGGTGGCAGGGCGTCAATTATGTCTCCCCTTCATTTTGTAGAAGCATGCTTCAAAATCGGTTGTACTGAGTTGTACTGTACTAAGACTATATAAGATTTATTGAGGGTTTATTAACCAGCAACAACCAGTGGTAAAGGCTTGCTAACATTCTATCATCATGGGGTAATCTTTGGGCGGTGTTGACGGAATACCCATGATACTGCCTTTGATATGTTAAGGACTCCAAAATTCTAACGTCTTGCTGTCCTTCGGTCTTGAATTGTTGAAACATCATCATAGACATACAGTTCCATAAACCCCAGAAATCGACCGTGGAACCCTAAAAAACATGTCAGTTCCCGGTAGAATAAACATTGAAGCTACATCTACATCCATTCTTGGTCTATGTTCCCTTTTCTCGCTGAATTCCCAAGCTCCGTATCCATTCGTGTCAGCTGCTGGGTCTAAAGTTTTGACCCGGAATCACAGCTGGGAATCCCTTGTTTTTCGCAGCCAAATCGCTGGGAATCAGCTGGATACCGATGATGAACTTCCCCCCTTGGTTTTCAGATCAACCCAGTGACTTTGCTCGCGCCTTGGAGAAACGCCGCTGGGTCATATTCTTCTGAAGGCTCAACTGGGCACCGCGCGGAACCGCGGAACGAAAAAATGGGACCCAGCGGAGTTGATCGAGAAAAAATGGAACTTCGCCATCCAAATTATTCAGACTTCACCATGAAGTCCTCAGGGTGGGTTGGGAACAAAGCACCGAAAACTTGGCTGGTGAACATCAGGAAAACCTAACTGACTCAGGGGAAAATCTACGGGAAACATCAGGAAACCATGATTGTGACCAACAAGTATAAAGAAGGTCCTGTAAATTGTCCTACCAATTCCTGGAGACTGGAACTATCTTTGGCAGGCATGACGGGATACGCCCGTGGTTTTTTTTTAAACATGAACTACCTTGCAAGGCTCCTGAAGCAGGCAGAACCTACATCTTTGGTCAATTTCCTATGGTAAAGGCAAGGACATGAAGCTGGTGGAAAATTCATGCTATCCAAGGAAAATTCTGTTGCCATAGTGCCATAGTCTGTCTGGGTCATACCGCCAAAAACGCCCAAATCAGCCATCCCCCGGCCCAAAGGGACACTAAAGGATCCCGTGAACATGTTTTGCAGAACTTGCTGGAGCTCCTGGTCGGCTGTGGTTGAAACCCTGAGATCATCTGAGATCAGCTGGTCGGCTGTGGGAAAATTCGATACAATTCAGCTACCAAAGGTATGCTAGCAAATTTCAAACCGAGTGGCTGTATATACATATATACATATATATGAATATATTGAAATATCGTGTATATAATGTGTATATATATATAATTGTGGCTTTGTTGATTGGTTGTCATGATATGCTTCGAGTGCTGTGAACAACCATATCCTATATAATGTGGGTCCAAAAAGAATAACATCAAATCACCATGAATAGGTGGTATGTTTTTCCATTCCCAAATGGGTGGTTTATTATTGTTTTACCCACATTATTATATTATATTATTTCATATTATATTATCCTATGTATTACATTGTCCTATATAATGTGTGTATGATATTAGATTGTATCATATCATATCATATATCATATCATATTGTACTATATTGTGGCGAAATTTTGAATATCATTTCTCGCACAATCTCGCACCTGAGAACGGAATGGCCAGCATCATCTCTGCACGAAAAGCTAAGCTCGCATTGTTACTCCCAGAGTTTGGACACGTTTGGACCAATCTGAAATACCCTCTGGATAAACTAACAGTTTGCTATTGAAAATAGCCATAAAAATAGTTGACTTACCCATTAATTAAACATGTTGATTTCCCATCGTTTTTTGTATATTTACCAGACGGTATATATGGATACATATTATAATTCACCAACCTGAAATAAGATAAATGTTAAAAACACTCTTCCCCTTACTAATCAAAAAAAGCGGTCACGTCGCACTCAGGTCGTTATAATCTATACATATAAATATATATATACATATATATACGTATATACATATATATATATATACATATATATATACATATATATATATACATATATATATATATACATATACATGTATATATATATATATACATACATATATATACATATACATATACATATATGTATACACATACACATATATATATATATAAATACATATATACACATATATATATATGATATATATATACATATATATATGATATATATATATATACATACATATATATATATATACCTTCCGACGTGTCATCGTTTGGACTACAACTTGAAACTGCGCCAACAACGTGATCGTCGTCGTTGCTCCATGATCCGATGCACCACACCATGCTATGACATAATGCCCACGATATATATATATATATATACCATTATATACCCATTATAATAGTGGGGATACCATGATAGTATGTACCATAATAATATTATCATCAGCATATATGATAGTATACAATCATGATCTATACCATGATAATTATTATGATAATTATGATCATCTTGAATTATCGTGGTACATTATCATGGTACATTTTCATGGTATATTCTGGTGAAAATATACCATGAACATTCATCCCATGCCCCCCCAACCGGACGCCTTCTTCTTGTAGTAGGAGACCACTTTCAAAAACTCCACGAACCTGAGAAAGGGGTACCCGAAATGGTAATTTGTTTCAGTGTGCGATCGAAAACATTGAAAGCCTACCATTTTGAAAAGATACAGTAAATCATACATATAGCCATCTGGTTATGACTAACATAGCCATGGAAAATCCCAACCATCAATGGAGGTTTCGTTCGCTGGGAAAATCATCTACAGATGGATCATGGTCCATCATGGTCCATAGTTATGTTGAACTCTCCACTGCTATGATGCCAATGCGCTGATTTCCTGCAGCCAATCCTACTCAGGATCGACACGTTGTTTATACAGAACAGAAAGACACAATGGTTGTCTAGTGGTTCTAATATGTTCTAATCATCGCATGTGATTAAACCTGAAACATCTCGAAAGCAACATCTAGGAGAGTTCTATCATCACCCCAGCCATGACCCATCATCTACGGCCGCGAATGGTGGATGGGATTATGCAATCTACAACCTACATATCATGTCATGTCATGTCATGTCATGTCATGTCATATCATATCATATCATATCATATCATATCATATCATATCATATCATATCATATCATATCATATCATATCATATCATCATCTTAGTCTAATGATGAATGGAGAAACATCATGTGCTATATCATTGTATCATACTTTATCTAAATTTGAAACGTATGCTCTAGTCACACCGCAAAAACTTGACGGTTGCATGTGACAGTGACCTTGACGGTGAGGTTGACGGATCGGTATTTCATGACGGTGAGTTTGACGGAGAGGTTGACGGTCCGTCAAAGTGTCCGTCAAGGTGTCCGTCACGACAAAATAAGGCTTATTTTACCAAAATACGGCTTATTTTGGACGAAATAAGGCTTATTTCATCAAAATAGGCCTTATTTTGTCGTAACGGACACCTTGACGGACACTTTGACGGACCGTCAGCCTCTCCGTCAACCTCTCCGTCAAACTCACCGTCATAAAATACCCATCCGTCAACCTCACCGTCGCTATCTCCGTCCACCTAACCGTCAAGCATCCCGCATGCGCCACTAGAAACCTCAAATTCATATGTTTTAAATTTAGATAAATCATACTATTCTTACAGATCATCATTGGTTCTTAATCCCCATCAAGATCCCATGTTGAATGGTTTTGTCTTGCCATCTCTGCTGGTGAAAAATCACCGTTTTCGATGGTTAAATACCCATCGTTTCAGTTGTAAAACGAGGAGTTGCAGACGGCAATCCCAACCCCCAGCCATCCAACTTCAG